GAACTATTACTTCTGCCTATGGTAATTTCCAAGCAGAATGTCCACAGTATCAATGGTTTCCTTTACATATTAGTATAAAATGCAGAAAGAGACAAGCTAGAAAAGAAAGTACTCATTTTCAAGCAGCTTCTTCCTCAAGAGAAACAGGTTAAAAAGTGGCCAGAGGTTATGTTGTGTGGGGTGAGGAGTGATTGACTCAAGCTCTTTGATGCCTAGGGCTCCCCAACTCTTGGCCTTGATAACAATGGGTCTGCTATAAACCTGGTCCTCCCCACACAAGCAGTGTCTGACAAAGCAAAGAATCAAGGGCCAAAGAATAAATGCAAAACAAGATACATTAGTCCATTTGGGATGCCATTCCAAAATACCATATATACCATAGACTGGATGACTTAAACAACAGAAACATATTTTCCTACAGTTCTAAAGGCCAAAGTCCAACAGCAGGTGACAGCATAGTAAAGTTCTGGGAAGGGCTTTTTGGCTTGCAGACAGCCACCTTCACACAGCAGGGAGAGAGGAAGAAGAAGCTCTCTGGTGTCGCTTATAAGGGCATTAATCCCACTGGCTCTCCTTCATGACCTCATCAAACACTAATTATCTCCCAAAGCCTCAACTCCAAGTATCATCACACTGGGGGTTGGGACTTCAACAAATGGGTTTGGGGGGATGCAAACATTCAGTTTATAACATCCATGTTTTTTTAAAAAGATGAAATTTGATTCTAACATGAAATCATGTGAAAAACCAATACCAGATGAATTAAAGAACATTAATGTCAAACAACTTTTTAAAACGTAGTGGAAAAGATGGTATCTTTTGACTTTGGAATAGGGAAATATTTTTTAAATAAGAAAAGATAAATTTGACTATATTATAACTAAAAATCATAGCTCATTTTAAAAATTCCTTAAGACAGTGAAAATACAAGCTATAAACTGGGAGACGATATTCATAATACACAAGACTTATAATGCATTATTACCAAGAATATATAAAGCAATAACACATCAAGGAAAAATATACAGCCAGAAAAATGGGCAAAAGACAACAAAGAAGCACTTCAAGCACCACACACACATACAATCAACAAATGTATTAAAAACTGCTCAGTATCACTGGGGATAAGAGAAATTCAAACAGCAAGACCACACTTGTCAGGAAAAAGAGTGAAAGGTTTTAAAGTAAACAAACAAACAAACAAAAGACTAGGGAATGTCCCCCACAGCTCGTGCATCCATTATCTCCATCTTTCAATTTTTCAATTCTTTAAGTTGTAGAAAACTGATACTAACGGGAATTATTCTTGTCTACAGAAAAGTAAATTAGTTGTGTCCATTGGAATGCAAATGATAGATAAATACCCAGTAGACAAATTAGTTTTGCATCTACGTATTTGAAAAATTTATTTCAGCATTCATTTACTACATATAAGTGAGTAGCTCTGTGAATTTTACTTTGAAATGGTTTTAACATCATACTAGTTTCCTCATTAATTAATGAGTTAAATACAATAATTGGCAAGTGTTCATTTTATATCTATAAGAGAGTCATAATTAAACCCTCGCTTAAAAATTATCATTTAACACCACAATTACAATTTTTGATGACAAAAAAAAATTTCTCATCAAATGAGCAATTAGAAAGGGTTTCTTTAACCCGAAGATAATGTAATTCTTCATGATGAAAGACTGAAAACTTTCCCCTAAGATCAGACACAAGACAAGAAGGTCTGCTCTCACCACTTCTATTCAGCATTGTGCTAAAGGTTTTAGCCAGGCAAGAAAAAAGCATAAGAGGTATTCCGATAGGAAAAGAAGAGGTAAAACTATCCCTATTCACAGATGACATAATATTACGTATTAAAAAGTCCCAAGTAACCTTAACGACTATTAGAATAAAAAAGTTCAGCAAGGCTGTGTGGCACAAAAATCAATTGTATCTTCTATATATTAGCAATGAATAATTTTAAATGAAAGTTAAAATAATTTCATTTATAATACTATAACAGATTTTTGACACAAGTACTGTAAGACTTAAGATATACACTGAAAGTCACAAAACATCATTGAAATAAATTAAAGAGGATCTAAATAAATGGAAAGATATCCTAAAATTCATATAGAAACGTAAGGGACCCAGAAGACCCAAAACAATATTGGATAAAGTTGGGAGAACTCACACTTCCAACTTTGAAAACTTACTACAATTAAGACAATATGGTACTAGCATAAAAACAGACCTCCCTCACCCCCCCAAAAAAGACAATCGAATAGAACTGAAAGTCCAGAAACAAACCCTTACATTTATGGCCAATTGGTATTCTTCAAGGCTGTCAAGATAATCCAATGGTCTGGGACAACAGGATATCCACAAACAAATGAACTTTAACCCCCCTACATCATACCATTTACAAAATTTAATTCAAAATGGTCATAGATCCAAATGTAAGAGTTAAAACACTAAAACTCTTAGAAGAAAATATGAATAATTCTTCAGGACCTTGAATTAGGCAATTGTTTCTCAAATACATTACCAAAAGCAACCAAAAAAATAGAAAAAATTTAAAACTATGGTGCTTAAAAGGACAATATCAAGAGAGTGAAAAGACAACCCACAGAAAGGGAGAAAATATTTGCAAAACATATATCTCGTAAGAGACTTGTATCCAGAAAAATATATATATATTTATATACAGGAGACCCTTGAACAACACAGGTTTGAACTGCATGGGTTCACTTATACGTGGATATTTTTCAACCAAACGCAGATGCAAAATGCAGTATTGGCAGAATGTGACACCTGCCTATATGGAGGGTCAACTTATTTTATACACGGATTTGGCAGGGCCGACTGCAGGACTTGAGCATGTGTGAATTTTGGTATATGCAGGGGACCTGAAACAAATCCCATTTATACTGAGGTACAACTTATTTATATTTAATGTAAATATATACAATATAAATATAATATTAAAATATGTGAAAGGACTAGAATGGATTTAATATACTCAATGAGCAGTCATTTTAACATTGCCTAAATCTCATCTTTTTCTAGCAGTTCACTTAACTTACCCTCTAATCACTAGCTAAGGGCAAAATCTGTTTCTCAGATGTAGCTGTTGATAATTATTTTACAATCCCCCTCCCCAGCTTGTTCTGTACTAATTAGTTTTTCTATTTCAAGCATTTACCTCTACCCATAAGACCTAGGTTAACCTAATCAGCCCTTCACGACCATCATGACACAGAAAGACCCTATCACCGAGGCAGCGATCATGTCACTAACCCACCCATCTGCCTGCTGTCCGTCACCTGACATCAGTACCTGCGCTTACCTGCCGCTTCGTGATGACATGGAGCAGACTACCACCCAACCACCTTAATGACCTGCTCCATCAAAGGGGAATGTTTAACACATTCAGCCTCACATAGCCATTCACCATTACTTTACTAAACTCTTGTATGGCCATGTGCTCTTTGGGCTATGGCCACTGCCATGTTTCCTAAGGTGTGGCCTCTCTTTGACCTCGGAGAGGTGACTCTACTCTTTCCCGCTTACGCTCGCTCACTTGCTCACTCACGCGCGCTCTCTCTCTCTCTCTCTCACACACACACACACAAATTCTTTTTTCCCTAAATAAACTATATTTTCTAATCTAACTTCTGTGCAATTCTTTGCATCTTTCACACGACACTGAATTGTGCACTAGACACCCACACCCATGAAAGGTCTGACCTAACATTCTGGAGTCCTCTGCTAGGAGTGGGACCTAATAGGATGACTATAGTTAATAATAATATATTATATAGTTTCAAATAGCTAGGAGAATATTGAATGATCCCAATAAAAGAAATGATAAACATTTGAGATGAGTATGCTAATTACCCTGAATTAATCACTATTAATTATATGCATCAAAACATCACTATGTGCCCCAAGAATATGAACAATTATTCACCAATTAAAAAATAAAATTTTCAAAAACATAATGGCCAACAAGGACAGGAAAAAATGTTCAACATCATTAGTCACTAGGAAATACAAATCAAAACTACAATATTCAATTTCACACCCACTGAGGCAGGTATAATAAACAAAACAAAACAAACCCAGGCAATAATAAGTACTGGCAAGGTTATGGAGAAATTGGAACCCTCATATATTGCTGTCAGGAATAGAAAATGGTGTGATCTCTTTAGAAAATACTTTGGCAATTCCACAAAATGTTAAACATGGAGTTCCTAAATTACTGAGCAATTGTGCTCTTAGGTATATACTCAAGAGAAATGAAAACATATGTCCATACACAAACTTATTCACAAACAATGTTCACAGCAGACTTTTCATATTAGCCAAAAGGTAGAAATGACTCAAATGTCCAACAACTGCTGAACGAATAAAATATGGCACATAGATATTGAGAAGTCTAGCTCCTGGCCAAAATATCCTGCATGTGACTTATTTCAGTATGATGATGAACAATTACAAAGGCTGAACCTAGCAGGCCTCACAGGGGAAAGCTGCCCTTCCCACACCAAACGGGTGCACAGCCAGCACACCACAGTGTTGGAAATGAGCTGCAGTCAAGACCCAGCTACCCCTGGCTGGCCAAGCTCTTCACAGAGCTGGATTCCTTGCCCAGAAGTCTCTAAGGTTTGGCCTCTCTTTGACCTCGGAGAGGTGGCCTTCAGTTGAGACCTTTCTTCAGATACCTCCAGAGAGGCCTTCTCAATAGGAAGGAAACACTGAACACACTTTTCTTGACACTGACAGAGTACTTGCCTCTCCTAGCCCTTGCACCTTGTCCTCCTACCATAGATCCATAAAATCGGGGGAAATCTTTTATTGGGGGCTACCTCAGCATTAAGATAAACCCTACCTCTGTGCTGATCCACAGGACAGAAGGGAGCCTTCGTTTTCTGAGGTTTAGCCTCTTGCTTATCCTAATTCAGTAAGTAACTAAAGCCTTGACGGTTACTTTTATTTTGGTTTGTTACCTTTAATCAGTTACCCAGACCACTGGAAGCTCAGCTCAGCTCTCTCCAGCTCTGCTCCTGACAACAATGGAATATTACTCAGTCATAAAAAGGAATAAGGTACTGACACATGCTGCAACATGAATAAGCCTTTACAACTTCATGCTAAGTGTAATACATTAGTCACAGAAGACCTTATACCGTACAATTCTATTTACATGAAACGCCCAGAATAGGCAGCAAGTAAATCAGTAGCTAACAGAGACTGAGGGGAGGGAGGAATGAGTAGTGACTGTTAATGAGTACTCTCGTGAACGATGGAAATACTCCAAGATTAGACTGTGGTGATGGTTGCACATCTCTATAAACATAATAAAAACTATTGAATTGTACACTTTAAATGGGTCAATGTTATGGCCTGTAAGTTATTTCTCAATTAAAGTATATGATATGAATATACAATGTTAGTTCATATCATCTTTAGAGCACTAGTGAGACAGAAAAATGGGTAAAGAACAGATTCTACTGCTCTGTAAAGGAGTTTGTACAATATCCTTACACAAGTAGAAATATTGAAGGATTCTGAGTAGTAGACTGACATGTTGACATTTTTGGGTTTTTGGTTTTGTTTTTTAAAAAACTTGTTGATGATGAGAATGGCTTAGAGAGCAGCTGGACTGAAGGTGGAAAGACCAGATGAGAGACTTACAATGATACCTTTAAAAAATTAAAAAATGAAGAGGACTTGAGTCAAGATAGGTAAGAAAAGAGAAAGAACTATGATCCTACCTTGAGAGTGGAATGCTATCTATTAAAGCTTTCTTTTTCTTTCTTTCTTTTTTTTTTGAGTTGGGGTCTTATTCTGTCACCCAGGTTGGAGTGTAGCAGCACAATCACGGTTCACCACAGCCTTGACCTCTGTTTCCTGAGTAGTTGGGATTACAGGTGTGTACCACCACACCTGGCTTATTTTTATTTTTTTTAATTTATTTACTTGTAGAGATGAGGTCTCACCATGTTGCCCAGGCTGGTCTTGAACTCCTGGGCTCAAACAATCCTCCCATCTCAGCTTCCTAAAGTGCTGGGATTGCAGGTGGGAGCCACTGCACCTGGCCATCTATTAAAGCTTTCTATAAAAGGGAAGCTTTCTATAGACACCAACAACTAATATGCTGGTGGATTTGTCCTTATTACATAAGCCCCCAAACAGAAAGAACTACTGAAAATAATCAAGTCTAAGAGAGTAGTGTGGTAGAAAACTCTTAATGACTGGTCTACTAAAATAGTTAACAGTTGTTTTAATCTATGACTTAAGTGATCGAGGATTTGTCTTCAAGAATATGAAGTTATGATGCCAGTGTTTCTGGTGTGTGACAGAGAACAGCAGAATGAATTGCATCTCTGAGTATAAAAGATAAGAAAAAATTCACTCAAAAGTTTTATTGCTAGAACAAGCTTCACTTTTTTCAAATGTCCTACAAACTAAAAGCAAGCATATGATATATGTAGCATGATAATAAATATTTGTTTCTTATTAAAACACTCAAAAGAAGCAATATTTGGTATTGCCTTAAATTTTTCAGAAACAATTCTCATTACAAAATATATTTTAAAAGGCAAATGCATTCATCAATTGTCTTACCTTTGATTTTCAGATAAACCACAAAAAGTCTACAGCATAAGTTCCAGTTTAGGCAGACATCTGAGTTGAAAAAGAAAAGAAAAGGCATGGTCAATATGAGTAAAACTGAGCAGGAAATTTAATTCTTTCAGCAGGAATACCCTTACTTGGTCATTTATCCCCTAAATCTGTGTGTTCAAGTTTTTCTTTGTTAATCTGTAGAATGCCAAGAATTAAGAAACTTCCACTGGACTTTCTATTGTCAATTATTATTTAATGTTGATGACATTTCTTGAAATTAAAAGCTTCTCAGCCGGGCTTGGTGGCTCAGCCTGTAATCCCGCACCTTTGGGAGGACTGCCTGAGCCCGCGGGTTCGAGACTCACCTGGACAGCGAGACCTCATCTCTACAATAAATCAAAAAAATCAGCCGGGCGTGGTAGCGCATGCCTGTAATTCTGGCTACTTGGAAGGCTGAGGCGGAAGGATAGCCGGAGCCCAGCAGGTCGAGGCTGCGGTGGCCGGGAGCGGCCACTGCACTCCAGTCTGGGCAACAGAGTGAGACTCCAACTCAAAAAAAAAAAAAAAAAAAGCTTCTCAAAACTTATATATACTACATAACAGGAGAAAAAAAATCAATTTCCTTCACTGGCTCAATTCTTCATAAGAAAAGTATTTTCTAAACTTTATACTCCCTATAATATCACCATTATTACTGTCCATCCTCACAGAAAATACAAAATTTAAAAATCTGCAATGTAAAAGTCAACCAATAGCACATGTGTATAAAGACTAAGTAAAAGAGAAAATTAAATAAAACAAATGTCTAATAAATATGAAAAATGTTTCGCTACATTGGCAAAGAAAATCAAATTAAAATGAGTACCACCTTTAATCAATGAAATGAGAATTGTTTTTCAAATTAGATGAGTCATTAGTGCTGTTCCAGTTCTCCTCCTTACCAGACTCATGACACAATTGCACCTCATTGTCCTCTTTAAATTTAAGTGTGGCTATGTGACTTGCTCTAGCCACTGAAATGTGCACTGATGTCACATAATTACTTCTAGGCATAAGCTTTAGGAACCAGTACACAACTGAAAGATCCACCCACTATTCCAGTCATTATGGAGTTCACTAAATGGCACTGAAGAGGAAAAAAAAAGCCCTGCTAATATAGGTCAGACATCTAACATGAGCAAGAAATAAACTTTGCTGCATTAAATCACTGATGTTTTGGAGAAATATTACAACAATATAATCTAGGCTACACTAACAGTTACAAGTGATAATGTAATATAATAGTACGTATTATAATAACAGAATATAACTGGCATCTCTGCACAGTGTTCATGGGACTGTACATTGATAAAGTCTTTCTAGAAAGCAATTTTGCAGTATTTGCAATAAGAGACTTAAGTTCAATTCCTCTGATCCAGTAATTTCTCCGCTAGCAATCGGTCCTAAATAATCAAAAATTCAAACACAGCCGGGCTCGGTGGCTCAGCCTGTGATCCTGCGCCTTTGGGAGGCTGAGGTGAGTGGATTACCTGAGCCCGTGGGTTCGAGACCCGCCTGGGCAGGCGAGACCTCATCTCTACAATAAAATCAAAAATTAGCTGGGCGTGGTAGTGCGCGCCTGTAATTCCGACCACTTGGAAGGCTGAGGCAAAGGATCACCGGAGTGGCCGGAAGCGGCCACTGCACTCCAGTCTGGGCGACAGAGTGAGACTCCAACTCAAAAAAAAAAATTCAAACACATTTATATGATAGTTCTTTTGTGACTGTAAAGAGTAGAAACAAACTAAACATACAAATGATTTGTTAAGTTAGAATATTAAGCAATCATTAAAATTATGTATCAGGCCAGATGCAGTAACTCATGACTGTAATCTGAGCACTCTGAGAGGCCCAGGCAGGAGGATCGCTTGAGCCCAGGAATTTGAGATCTGCCTGGGCAACATAGCGAGACCTCATCTCTACAAAAAAATCAAAAAATTAGCCAGATTGAGTGGTGTGCACATGTAGTCCCAGTTGCCCAGGAGGCAGAGGAAAGAGGATTGCCTGAGCCCAGGAGTTTGAGGCTATGATAAGCCGTGATCAGGCCACTGCAATCCAGCCTGGGTAAAACAGTGAGACCCTGACTCAAAAAATAAAATTATTTATCAAAGATGACTAAAGACTAATAGGGGAAATTATGTAAAGAGCATACATTGGAACTCTCTGTATTCTCTGCTCAATTTTTTCATGTATGCAATTTTAGAATAGGAAAAACTACTACAGTGGCAAAAAGCAGATGTGTTATCACAGGAGTCAAAGGCCGTATGAAGGAATAGACCACAAAAGAGCTTAAACAAAGCTTTAAGAGTGATTGAAATGCTTTATATCTCGACTATGGTGGTTGCCAACAGGATGTATATATTAGTCAAAACCCATCCAACTATTCTGCACATAAATCATCTTACTAAAGTTGATTTTAAAAGTAAAATAAAAATGCTTAATGACAAGAAAATGCTCATCTACTGATTAATTTGAATAATGTAAAACACATACATCTGCACAGAAAAAACTAGAAATACAATGTTAACAGGACTTCACTTTGCATAAGGATTATATAGGCACTTTTAATTTTTCCATAGGCTCTATGCTTTCAAAACTCGAAATAAGTATTTTAATGTTTATTTGGTGGTATTTTATTGAGAACCAGAACTTGAAACCTAGAATAAACTTCAGGTTTTAAGAATTTACTCATTCAATATTTATTGCATGCCTCTGTGTACAAAACAGCATCCTAAGTAGTAGAAAGACACTTCCACACTGGGTGTGTTTCCTCCAAGATTTAGCTAGATGTGCCTTTTAAGTGATCACTGTAGCCAATGAATAGGCAAGCACCAACAATCATCTGCAAATCACATCTGTTTATAATCCTTTTTTTTTTTTTGAGTCAGGGTCTTACTCTGTCACCCAGGCCGGAGTGTAGTGACATGATCACAGCTCACTGCAGCCTCAACTTCCTAAGCTCAGGCAATCTTTCTGCCTCAGCCTCCTGAGTAGCTGGGACTATAGGCGTGCACTACCACTTCCAGCTAATTTTTTGAATTTTTTGTAGAGATGAGGTCTCACCATGTCGCCCAAGTTGATCTCGAGCTCCTAGATTCAAGCAATTCACTGACCTCGGTTGTTTATAATCTTTACACTGGCAAAAGACAGGTAGTTTATGACTATTTGTAAGAACTGTTTGCATTAATAATTATTTGTTTACCTAATCTTTCTGAAAATAAGCTTAAAATTTCTACAGTGTTTAATACTGAATATGTGCCACATATGTTGAATGTACAACGTGTGAATGTGTTTATAAGAGTTATGTGTTAATAACTATTCATTTAAAAATTTTATGAATTTTGAGCACATATTTACTTAAAGGATTAAAAGATTTTACAACTGTAAAAATGGCTGAAGTATTTTAAATGCTAAGAAATTACAGAAAAGTATAGATGAAACACAGAAAGCAATAAATATGACTATGAATACAGAACATTAAGCAAAGAAAAGAACCAGAAGATTAATCAAATAGAAAAATCAGATATATAATTAACAAATTGTAATCAACAAGGAAGGGTATAGCACAAAAATAGGTGTTCTGTGTTCAGCAGCAAGTATAGCAGTCAACATATTAAACTAACTTCTTATGAGAGAAAAATATGAAGTACCGAATATTGCGAAAAATACGTGTGAAGCAAAAACAAGAAAGAAAATATAGAAGAATCTAACCTAGAAGTGATTTTAAAGCAGTGAAGACTGAGATTGAATCACCATGTTTAATTACAACTGTATAATATATCGCTATCTCAAGTCTAATATTTGGACTTACTTGATATATTCAAAAAGTATAAAGTTGTTAATTTATAATAAAATAGAGATAAAGCACATAATTTATACTAATAACCACTAAGAAGTGCTAAAATAATGTGCTCATCAGATTACAGATAGTAAAGATGAATAAAATAGTCCCAGACATCAGGGAATTTTCATGGCACTTAGAAATTGAGAATGAAATCTAAAACAAAATTATCAAGACCACAGGAAAGCGAATGGAGCATTCTCAATAAGTATTAGTATCTCAACCCATAAAAATATAACCTATGAATAGGAAAGGAAAATACAGGTAGATGGGAAAACACTATCACCATCTGGTCTGATTTTCTTTTTTTCTTTTCCTTTTTTTTTTTGAGTCAGGGTCTTATTCTGTTGCCCAGCCCACACCCATTGCTCACCATAGCCTCAACCTCCTGGACTCAGGTAATCTGTCCACCACAGCCTCCCAAGTAGCCAGGGCTACAGACACACACCACCACACCTGGCTAACTTTTTGTAGAGACGAGGTCTCACTATGATGCCTACGCTGGTCTCAAACTCCTGGGCTCAAGCAATCCTTCGGCCTTAGCCTTTCAAAGTGCTGGGATTACAGGCATGAGCCACCGCACCCACCCTGGTCTGGTTTCTAAATTCTAAAAACCTTAAATTCAGTAACATGTGCCCCAATCAACTATATCAGTGGTGAAACTACAGCCTGGGGGCCAAATCCAGACCATGGCCTTTTTGTCTGGCCCAGGTTTCATATTTTTAACAGGTTGTAAACAAAAGAATATGTAACAGAGGCAGTATGATGGTACAACGCTTAAAATATTTACTATCCAGGCCGGGCTCGGTGGCTCAGCCTGTAATCCCGCACTTTGGGAAGCCGAGGTGAGTGGATTGCCTGAGCCCACGGGTTCAAGACCCGCCCAGGCAACTTGGTGAGACCTCATCTCTACAATAAATCAAAAAATTAGCCGGGCGTGGTAGCGCGCGCCTATAGTTCCAGCTAATTGGAAGGCTGAGGTGGAAGGATCACCAGAGCCCAGCAGGTCGAGGTTGCAGTGGCTGGGAGCAGCCACTGCACTCCAGTCTGGGTGGCAGAGTGAGACTCCAATTTAAAAAAAAAAAATTAAATAAATAAATAAATATCAAAAAAAATTTAAATAAATAAATATTTACTACCTGGCCATTTACAGAAAATGTTTGATCTCTAAACTAAATAA